GTAGTTTGCCCATGTTGCCACAGTTAATCTGCTGTGAAGCTAGTACTTGAAGCTAGGTGAGTCACTCACCAAAGACCAACCCTTTACTATATGACAGTGCTTCTTCAGTGCTTGGAGCTCATACTAATGTGGACAGTAAGGAAGAAAACCCTTGCCAGCAATTATAAACGCAATAAAAATCCTAAGAAAAATTCCAGCTGGATTTGGTTAAACTGAGTGAGCTAATTGTAAAGTCTGCATGAAAAAGAAAATATATGAGAACAATTTCTGTTTTTAAAGTACATATATATATGTATCATTAGCTATAAAAACATACTATTAAGCCCTATTATTCAAAGGAGCAGTATCGGCATAAAAACAGGCAAAAAGATCTGAAGCAGACCCTAGTGTAAATAGAGCTTATTTTATAATTAAATCCAAAATTTAGCCAGGTGTTGTGGTACACACCTGAAATCCCAGCACTTGAGAAAGTGAAGCATGAGGATTGCAAGTGTAAGGCCACCCTGGGTTACACAGCAAGACCCTGTCTCAAAAAGCCAAACTAATCCAAACCAAATTCAAAACTAAACCCAACCAACACACACACACACACACACACACACACACACACACACACACACAGCCCTGAAATTCAAACGAATTTGAAAAATGATGAGGTATCAACTGTCTAAAAGTTTAGAAAGAATGAACTTACATTTTTACCTTTTGTTTTATTTTTAAAAATCTGATGTTTTAAAGATCTAATGTAAAATTTAAAAGTATTAGGAGAAAATAAGATAATTTAAATTTTAGGTAAAAATTTCCTAAGTTAGGCAAAGTACAGAGATCATGAGATTATTGTGCTGATTACACAAATATTTAAACCTTCCATGTAACAAAGATAGCTAAAGGCAAAAGCATTATGCAGGAAGAAGCAAAATGTGGTATACACATTCAATGGTACAGTACTCAGCCCTGAAAATGAAGGAAATTCTGAGATCCACTACAGCATAATTAAACCTTGAGAACATTATAGCAAGTGAAACAGTCAGTCACAAATAGGACAAATGCTATGGAATTTCACTCATATGAGGCGTCTAAATTAGTCAAATTCAAAAAGACAGAATATAGAATGGTGGCTGCCAAGGGACAGGGGAAGAGGGAAATAGGGAATTATGATTTAATGGATACAGAGTTTCAGTTTTGCAAAATGAAAAGAGTTCTAGAGCTGAATGGTGGTGATGGCTGCACAACACTGTGAACACACTTAATAGCACTGACCTGTATACTCAAAAGGGTTATAATGGAGAATATTATGCCATGCATGTGTTACCACAGTTAAAAACATCACTGTGGTAGAAGAAACAGCTGCATCATCCATAACAGGTGAAGGCTTAAGATCCATAATAGAACAGAGCTTCTGTTCTATTGCAATAAATAGGAATAGGAAAAAATTACTCAGAAAAATGAGTGAGGGACAATTATAATAGGTAATCACAGAACACAAATGACCAATAAATCTATGAAGATATTAAAATGCAGTAGTAACCAACAAAATGCAAATTAAAATTTGCTTTAATTTGATAAATTAACAGATTCCACTAACTTACCAGGTTTGAGAATTAAAAAAAAAAAAGACAGCAGTTGGTGTAAGGAGGGGCAAAGGGTAATAGATTGTGCAATGAGTTCAAGTTAGCTCAGTGGGGAGGGGTAAGAGGACTGGAATTTGAGGATTGAATCTATCAAGTAGAAACATAAGCAAACTCGACCCAAGAACAGCTGTCCTGCCCAGCAATTGTGGCTCACGCCTGCAATCCTAGCTACTCAGGAGGCAGAGATCAGGAGGATCAAAGTTTGAAACCAGCCTGGGCAAACAGTTCAAGAGACCCTATCTCAAAAACAGCCTATCACAAAAAAGAGTTGGTGGAGTGGATCAAGGTGTAGGCCCTGAGTTCAAACCCCAGTACTGAAAAAAAAAAAAAAAAGAACAGCTGTCCTGGGACTCCACTCCACAGTGATATTTGCACTTGAGAACAAAGATGAAATGCACAATCTTCTCTGAAGCTAATGCGAATATTGAAGAATTTTCAAAACCCTGTGCGCATCAACAAGGGAAAGGATGGATTCCATTTCTTCTTTAGGTTAACAGGGCACCATTAACAAAAGATGTTCATACACAGATCTCTTCCACTTACAAAGTAAAAAGGAAAACTCTAGGTTTGCATAGTAAATTACACTTTTTTTCTTTTTCTTTTCTTTTTTTTTTAGTGGTACTGAGTTTGAACTCAGGGCTTCAAGGCAGGCACTCTACCGCTTGAGCCACTCTGCAAGTTCTTAAATTACACTTTTTAAACATATTTAAAACCTTGTGTATAAGCATGTTTTGTAACTCTTTAGGAAAGAAAAGAAGGGTGGGGAAGGGGGGCAAGGGGACAAATGACCCAAACAATGTGTGCACATGTGAATAAAAGAATAAAAAACAAACAAACAAACAAACAAACAAAAACCACATCTGAACTGATGTGGCTGACTTGGGTCATTTCATGGAGCATAGCAATACCTTGGAGGTTCAGCATTTTAAAAGCAAATTTCTAGTAAAAGAAAAGTAAATTACATTCATGGAAAAAAAAAAAAAGAAAAGAAAAAAAACTTAGAATGATATTTACCAAACCTAACCTTTGATCTTCCCAGTGGTAACAGAGTCAATGACACTATGACTACTTTCATTGCACAGACTTCTATGCTGTTTGAATGAGAATGCATTCAGTCATTACTTTCATTATATTTAAAATAGCAAAATATAATGTAAAGTAAATGCTGAGGAACCAGAGAACTAAAAGGAGGAGGGAAGGAGGGCCCTGCAGCCAAGGTACAGTCACCAGGAAAGAAACTCCTTATGCAGCTACAAGGAAACTCGCCTGGAGGGGAGGGGTTTTCTCTAGCAAGACCAATGCAATATGCTGTTTGTTTTGTTTTCCATTTCACCCATTATTTTTAAACTAAAAAAGGCTTCCTTTCCAGGGAAAGGAGGGTCAAGGAGCACTGTTCCTGTAAGTGAGTGAGATGACACTCGCTAAGATTTCCTTCTACAGGAGCCAGCAAATGCCCCAGCAGTTCCCACAAGGAAAGCACAGTCCTTCCTCTTGTCAAACAGCATCACCGACTCCTTTCAAAACTTCAGTAGAGGTCCTGATTCGGTTCCTTTCTCAAGAAAAAAGGGTTACAAAAGCATTAGGGGTCGGGCTTCCTGGTCATGCCCATAGATGGACTGTGAGAATGTAGGAAAGTGACCCGGTGATGTGGGGTGGGGTACGGGACAGGAAGCAGTCCAGAGAGCAAGTGTTCTCCTCAAGTGATCAAGTCCCTGCCGGACACCCAGCACCAGCCTTGTCCTCTCAAATCTGCCTTTGATACAAAAAGCTTAGAACAGGAGACATAACTAAGCTAAGATGCCATTCCAAGAAGACAAATGACAGTTGAGAAGTAGCTCTGTCCAGCAACGGAACCAGGTGGTGAGCTTCCTGCCACAGGAGGCAATCTGACAGCACTGAAAGGTTGCCAGAGGACAGGTCAACGGAGCGTGCTACCAACATTCCAAAAGGGCAATTGTGCTTGAAAAACTCCAGGAATGTTCTCAGACATAGCTCAGTTTGGGAACCCCTGGCCACCATGACCATCTGGGGGCTCTTCAACCTCAAGAGTCTCAGCCTCCCTGTTAAAGCAACCCAGGACTGAGACAAATCATGAAAGACCACCTCCAGGTCCACTCTAAAAAGCCCTAACACTTGAGGTACAGCATAGTGGTTACCACAGACTCCAAAACCAGATCCTGGCTCTGCCTCCTGTTAGCTGTCACCACCACAATCCACTTAAGCTCTCTGTGCCTCAGTTTGGAAGACAGTACTACTACCTGATTCATTCACAGGCGAAGTACAAATGTGTGAACATACACAAAGTGCCTACTAGGTATAGTGCCTTAGCAGTTACTGTGACCATTATTTTGCAAACAAAAAACTGGAAGTAAAAAGTGAAAAGTAACCTGACTCAAGTTCCAAAATCAGTTTAGATGTAGGATTACCATCCATAGCTTTTTGGTTTTCCCCTTCCACCAGAGCTCCTTCTAGGTTAAATCAAATCCCACATTCAATTCTGTCTCTTCTACCCTCGCGGTAGTACTGTGGAGGTGGCAATGAGCTTGTTCGCAAAGTGCTCAAGGCAGGTGGAGTACCAAGCAGCCCAGAGTGGTACCTGGCAATGCGCTTCAAAGTCTAATGGCAGGCACAGTGGACAGATGGACAGACGGATGCACAGGGCTGCAAGTCAAGAACTGTCAAGAAGGAAATCATGGTGTCAGGGAAAAGCCCTGGCCTGGGCGACAGGAGCTCTGAGTTCAGCGCTTCGAGAGCTGCCTTGGATAAGTTACTGACACTAGGAAAAGGTGCTTCCATTCACCTGCCTGGAGAGGGGGGATTTCCTCTCGAGAGCCGCGCCTCCCGCTACTCCAGCTAACCAGAGTGGTGTGGAGAGAGACACTCGGATTCCCAGAGAAATGCTGTCAGGTAGGAGTTAAGAGTGGACGGGAAGAGGATGTGGACAGCAATTTACACCCACACGGTGTGATGGAAGAGAGGCAAAAGTGGACTAAGGAGGCGTTGGGGTGGCGAACTTAAAAGCAGACTGAGACCTGTCGTGGTATCCCGGCGGCAATGTGCGCTCTGTAAGGATTTAGCCCTAAGTGTTATTATCACCGGGTACGCGGGCCAGAGGCGGGGACCCCTCGGAGCCCTGTCTCTGTGCGAACGGAAGCCGGATCCAAACGCGGGGCCGAGGGGACATGGAGGGGGACCCTGGAGGCTCCGCTCCCGGCCGCGTGCAGCGGGTCAGGGCTGCAAAGATTTGGGATTCTTCCCGGCTACGCGCGGGGTTCGCCCGTCAGAAAAGCCACCGCGGGAGGCGGGACGCGGGAGGCGCGCAGCTCGGGGCTGCGCTGGACGCGGGGCGCGCGGATCGGGGGTACTCACCCCGCCGGCGAGGGCCTGCGTTCGTAGGGCCCGGTCCTCCGCGGCAAGGGGGGCGCTGGGGGCGCCGTGCGGCCGCGGGTGCGGACGTCGGTGCGGACGTGCCCAGGCAGACCCGCGCCCCGGCTATGAATCAGCTGCGGGGTGAGCGCCGAGGGGCGGGAGTTACGGGAAAGCGGCGGGGGAGGGCAGAGGGGTGAGGACTTTTGCAATTTCCCGTCTTGCTCCGCACTCTTGGCACTCCTGGGGCCCACAGGAATTCGCCTCCTTTGGTCCCCGAGGGAGATGGACAGGACCCCGCGGGAGGCCAGGCCCCGGAGCCCCGGATCGGGCGGACGGGCGGGGAGCGGTGGGAAGGAAGTGGGAGAGGCCTGGGAAGGAAAAGTGGAAACCGAAAACTCGGCGGGTCGAGCTTTGCGCCCCGCGCGCGCCAGCTGGCCGCACGGCAAGCCCCGAGCTCCCTGACAAAGGACAAGTTCTCCAGCCAAACTTGTGATCGCGTTTCCATTTGGCGTCCAAAGCAATGCAACCTGTTTGAACAGATTTCTAGGATCCCCTTGTCCCCCCACTCGCGTCCTATTCATAAACGCCCTGTCCGATGGTTTCTTGTTCCATTTCACGCAGAGCCGAGCCACATGTGCTATAACACTGTTTGTTCTTCTAAAAATGCCATCCAGTGTTTACTGTTTGGACCTTTGAAGGACATACTTGATTGCTTTTTATAGTTACGTTGTACAACATCGGGACCAAGTAGACTTTTGGAACTGATATGAAAGCCACCCTGATACTGCCCCTTCCGTGGCAGCATCAGACCAGAGGGGGAAGAACGGAGAGGATCCACGCGTCCGGATGCCCCATGGCACTGCAGGCTTGTCATGGGGCCTCCGTCCTGATCAGCTAAGCTTAGGCTGGTTCACATTTGGGACCATGCAACGTGTTACAAATGCAGAGGGGTTGAGGGGAAGCCAATAGAGATTAAGAAGCATTGACAGGCTGGGGGTGTGACTCAGTGGTAGAGTGCCTACCTAGCAATGGGGAAGCCCTGAGTTCAGTCCCCCTCCCCCCACAGCCCCCTCCTCTCACGAATCATCGTCCACGAATGATGTCTTAGAACACTTCCTGACTTGACGGGATAGATAGAAGTAATGACAGAATTGTTAATTATTACAACTTACAATTTATGTTTGTACACATTTTTTGTTTTTGCTCCTTCCTAGCATCATCTTAGGGGAAGAATTTTTTCTTAATACCTAATGGTACCACGAAGACCATGGTGCATAGTAAATATTTCATGATGATGAAGAAAAGGTACATTTTTGTCTAGTGAATAGATGTATGATCCTTTGCCACACCTCTCATTACTTAGAGTTTTAAAGAGTCCATTAGTTTAGCCCTCTGCATAGCCGTAGGAACTGTCAAACCAAATCGTTATGGGCTGGAAAAGCTTTCCAGCCTTATTATTTCACCGAGGAAAAAGAAAGAAAGAAAAGAAAAATATCAGTCTCTTCTTTATAGAAACCTTGGAGAGGGGGGTCTTATAGCAAATGAGATGTCAAATAAAAATATTCAGTATTAAGTATTTCTGTAGAGTGATTCAACTTACTTTGTGGTCGTGTTACATTTGAAAGAGACTGAAGTGAAAAACTTTGATGCCCATTTAAAAGTCACCTATTTTTGCACCATTTAAATTTCTTATGTATATCCCTTTCTCCTAGAGTCTAGTTGGAGCACGTGTGCATTTGTGCTCCTACAGTGAAGGAGGGTGTACTGAGTTGGGTAGTATCCTCCCAAAATTCATGTCCATCCAAAACTTCTATGACCTATTTGGAAGTTGTGTTTTCGCAGATTTACAGGACTGGAGTTGTTTTGCCTCAAGCCAAGGACAGAAAGGAAACTCTTCCCATTTTCCCCCATGTCCCTAACTTTCTTCTCTATTATCTTCTTAGGCTTCTACTCACTTGCCCCTAAGATGATGGTTTATTCTATGACCCCATCCTTGACATTCTTCTCTTCATCCAAAGTCTCCTGTGTGATCACATCCTCATCCATGTGCACCAATAGCCTCCAAATCTTCCTTTCTATTGCAACTATTTCATCTGCACCTCAGGCCAATTTATTTGTTCTTCAAAATCTGTATGTCTAAGTTCAAACTCTTCACTTTCCCCCACTTGATTTTTTTACATTAGGTGAGCACTCCAATCTTTAACCTTTATTAAAGTAATGGTCCAGCCTCGTGTCCCATAGACCCAGGATCCAAAAACTTAGGAATGATCCAGAAAACTAAGAATGATCCTTGACCCATCCCCTCATCTTCCATCTCTCATCAGAAAGTCTCATATATGGAACTATTTAGGGAAGGCATGAGTGGAATGTACCCCATCCAGCTTCTCAGAGAAAAAATTGTCCTAAAGTTGTCAAAAAGATCATCTAGATCTCTGTATATTTTTATAGGTAATATAAAGATATGCATAATGTGAAGTCAGCTATATAAATTATGACATAAAACTATGATCCCTTTTGCTCAACCACTGTAAATACCTATAAATACATATTGGGCAATATTTAGTTGCTAAATTGATGGAGTTTAAAGGAATTGGAAGTTGTATGAAGAAAATGTCTTCATTAAGTAGTAGAGAACAGTTTACAATTATCCTCAACTATAGGAATTCTGTATTTTATTGGCATGTTTTCACATTTCACATCTTAAAGATTCACTTTCAGGGCTTAACTTAATCATGTTTGTATGATCATGATTACTGGTCATCTTGACATTAGTTCTAATAAAACTTGATGAAAATCAAATGTCATTTTGTAATTGTATCCTTCTATTATTAAAAATAAAATAGGCCTGTCTTCCCCCAACTTTTAATCTGAAAAATGTCATAAAACATAAGTACAAGAGGTCTTCATTTCTAAGTATTCAAAACAGAAACTCAGCAATGACTACAAAAGATGTTGAAAGAAGGCTGCATTGGAACTTTCTTGAAAATACCTGAAGTGAACTTAAGTGAGGAATAACATCATTTAATAATTCTAAAGGTGGTCCTTGCATGAGCTAGATATTATGTAAAATTCAACGGATCAATTTTACATATTCTACCCTTTCCTGGAGACTATAATTGTGTTTAGATCTTGTTCTAGAAATCCTCAGAAACCAGATAATAAAGAGAACTTTTTGGATCTTTTACTTTTTTCCCCTTGGGTTTTAGGAAAAAAATGTTAAATATGTGTTTGTTTAGGTAGCTGCTTTTATTATTTTGACCTGAGGTATGGGACTTTATAAATCCGAGTGGGGTAGTTAATATTAGAGAATAGAATGTTAATACAATGAAGAGGGAAGTATTTTGGAGAGGATTAGATGGGAACTTTGGGGACTTTTCAAAACTATTTGGTTATGGTTAGTCCACAAAAGGTCTTATGATGATTTTGATCTTATAAACTGTGTTACATCGACAGACAAGATAAAAACCCATAATGTGACATGTATTTTAAAGAAATTAAGAAGAAAACTAGTCTTTTATATGTACCATATATTTACCTTTCCAAAAGTTCTTAAAACCGTCCCAAAGGCCATGTGTGGAAGGCTTATTTGCCAGCCTGTGGCACTGTTAGGGGTGTGTGGAACTTTTAGGAGGTGGGACCTCGTGGAAGGAAGTTAGGTCACTGGGGTGTGCCCTTGAAGGGGATATTGAGACCCCAGTCCCTTCCTTTCTCTTATTTTGCTTCCTGGACCCCATTTTCTCTCTGCAATGACGCACTGCCTCATCACAGCCCTGAAGGCAACAGGACCAACTTCTGAAAGCAGGAGCCAAAATAAAACTTTTCTCCTTTTGGGTTGTTCATCTCAGGCATATTATCATAGCAACAGAAAGCTGACTAATGCGGGTCTTTGATTTTATTTATATTTATACTGCATCGCTTACAAATTAGAACTTTAAAAGTCAGTTCTTAAAATCTCTGCAATTAAATTCAATAAGGTGTGTTTATTATACTCACATTGAAGGCGACTATGAATACACTTGTGTTTAGCCTACTATCTTACTATATACTTCCTTCTTTGGTTTATTTGAATATTACTTAGAATTCCATTTTAATTTGCCTTTTGGTTTTTCAAACATCTTCACATAATGTTTTAGCGTTTTGTCTTTGGATTACAATATGCTTTCTTAATTTTTCATTGTCTACTTGAGATAATATTGTACTATTTCACATAATACGTCAGTCTAACCTCATACTCCATCTTTTGCACTATAGTTATAAAGTTACATCTACAGACAAGATAAAAACCCATAATGTGACATGTATTTTAAAGAAATTAAGAAGAAAACTAATCTTTTATATTTGCTATATATTTACCTTTCCAAAAGTTCTTACAACCTTCCCAAATATCCAACTGTCTATTTGGTACCATTTTCCTAAATTTAAAGAATTTACTTTAGCATTTTGGTGTGGGGTATGTGGTACAGGGGTTTGAACTCAGGGCTTGGCAAGTTCTCTACCACTTGAGCTACACCTCCAGCCTACTTTAACATTTGTTTACTTAGATTCCTTTTATCTGAAAATGTTTTTATTTCACTTCATCCATCTTTAAATGTCTTTTCTACTCTATGATCTTTGTCATCTCTTTCTGAAACTCCAGTTATGAATATTTTAAGCCCCCTGATAATAGTCACAAATGTCCCTGAACTACTGTTTTCTTTGTGTTCTACAGATTGGATTATTTCTATTTACCCATTTTTAAGTGTGCTGATTCCTCACCCGTTCATTCTGCTACTAAATCCCTCTAGTAAATTTCATGTCATAGATATTGATATTTCAGTTATAGAATTTCAGTTCTTTAATATACTTTACACTTCTCTACTGATAATCTATATTCTTTTAATCATGGCAATATTTCCCTTTAACTCTTGGAGTGCAGTTATTATTAATTATTGCTTTTAAAAGATTGATTTGTTATCCTAATATTTGGATCATGTTGGAATTAGTCTCTATTGACTGAGAATGAATTACTTCTTCCTAGTTTATTTATTTCTCTATTTTTGGATTGTTAAGTAATTCTAGAGCACAACTTGAACACTGTAAATATCATATAGTAAAGAATGTGGAGCCTGTT